CCAGACAGGCAAACAATTGCATTAAGCCATTAGAAATCGACGATCGGGCTCGATATATGGTTAAATATAGCAGTAGGCTATTTATTTTCATAGATGAGAGTAAGATCTACGTCACTTTACGGCCCCGCCCACTTTTGGGGGAAACAACGGCTGTCATTTGAATGGCGATCGAGCCTGAAGCCACAGAGATCTTCTGTTACTGTCCTTTCTTCTTAGAGGAAGTACAGAAACACGTAACTCTGTATTTGTTTTAATGTTTGAGGTGCAATAAACGACACAGCAGCTTTTTGGCATGATAAAACTATTATGTTCTGCCTCACTCATGAGAGTAACAGCTGGAGAAATTACAGCCTCGCCTACTGATTCTAATTTAACCATTATATCAAGACCGATTGTCGATTACCAATGATCGAATGTAATTGTTTGCCTGACTGGCCATCGTAATCGAGCTCTTTGAAGATCCAAAAATCCACGGTTTTCAAAAAAAATTGATCGGATGGGCAAAAACTTCAGAATTTGTATTGACCGCCATTCAAATGACAGCGTTGTTTTCCCCAAAAAGTGGGCGGGGCCGTAATTTTTGCCCGGAAGTGACGTAGGGGTTGTACTATTTTAGAACAGCAATGATTAATGAATTAATCAGTAAATAACTTTTGAATTAAATGTGATAAGATGTCATTGATCCCTTGGTAAAATTGAAAAGCAACCCATCATTAAATATAATTAAAAATAAATAAGCCACCTTTCCCAACTGCAACGTGTATATTGAAATGCATTTGATAATTGTAATATACATTACTCTAAAATAGGCCATTCTGTATAATAATGAGAAGGCTCGCTTTTATCTATGATACTTTGATGCTAACAATTATATTTATTTTAGTAAAATATTGGATGAATGACTTTCACTTGTAACAGTATTCCTGTGGTAGTGGTTCGTAAAAAAAACACGAGACAGATAGTGTTTCAGTGCATGCATCCCCAGTGATCATATAATAGTGCCTGCATGTATTAGGAGCCACTTTGAGTTTAAGGATATAGTCAAGAATATCCTCCCTCATTTTATCAGTCATGTTTTGTTGAGGAAATGTCGTGCAGAGGAGAGATTAGGGGCGGAGAAATTGGGATCTGCCAAGTGGGAGGTTCGGTCACATGCAGGTCAGAATCAAAACGTGCAGGTTTTCACTCCTCCAACACAAGGGAAGAGGGAGAGGTTTCACACCGTTACACCTGTTGCTTTCTGACGACTTTCTTCATGGTGCTAAGCGAAACCGTTCGAGGAGTAACTCATAACAACAGTAAGTAAGTCGAGCTAAACTCCGTAATGAAAATTATTGATATAAAGTTGTTAGAGCAGCATTATAGGGAAGTTCGGTTTATACATTTAAATCGGTCGAGTTTTCTAGGGGTGAGTTCGTTTATCAAATTTGACACTACACTAAAATGAGTTAGAAACTATTTAATATACATTTACAAGCAGGTATGTTTAAATACATGAGAGAAAACCCCTTTATTGATACGTAGAATACAAAATGTAATGCGTCTTGCTTGTCAGTCAGGATGACAATGTAACATGATTATGATGCGACGTGACAGTCTCTTAACAATATGCCTATTTGTTTCTTTAAGTGACTAAAACTAACGTTAAGAGTTTAAACAAAGGTTAGCTAATTTGCTAGCTCATAGTGTTATTGAATAGTTTTGCTAAAAAGTAACTCTCACACATTCACTGGTGCTCCGTCTCCTCCTGTGCCAAAGTGTGCGCCGATGCTCAGGGTGACAATAAACCAAACGAACGCACCTTTAGTTATTACATTATAATGTCATTTGTTAGACGCTTTTATCCAAAGCGACTTACATTCAGTTCTGTGGACAATCCCCACAGGAGCAATTTGGGGTGAAGTGTCTTGACTCTTGCCCATTACCATGATGATTTGTTCAGGGACTTTTATATTGTAAACAATAATACAACTGTAGCTGATGTCATCTGAAGTGGAAGAAGTACTCTTATATTGTACTTAAGTAAAAGTAGAAGTACCAGAGTGTAGGAACACTGTTACAAATAACAGTCCTGTATTCAAAATGTGAGTCAAGTAAAAGTTCAAAAGTACTCCTTCTGCATATTGACCCATTTTCTAATATATTATATGTTTTGATTCATTATTGATACATTAATGTGTTAGTAAAAGTGCAGCTAGTTTGAATGACTTTGTATACTGCAGGGTAGCTTGTGAATTTACTCCAGGTGTAAATAAAGTCTTATTTAAGAGTTGACCATATTTCACATCATTAATCCAAATCTGTAAGTAACTAAAGTTAGTGGAGTTAAAGTACACCATTAACCTTTAGCGAAAAATGGAAATACTTAAGTTCAGTACTTGAGTAAATATGGTCATCTGGTGGTTGTAGCTGATGTGAGACATGCCATTGTGTTTGTATTTTCCATGACAAAGTGAGTATTGTTTCACAGGAATGTGTTATAATAAGTGTTATTTGATATGTTTCTGTAAAAAATGTTCTCCTTACTTTGTATTTAACTAGCCCTTTGCTATGAACTAACTACTCCTGTTTTGTTCCTACAGGTTAACAGCTTCTACCAGCACACATTGGCTGCTTCGAAACTGTTTAACAGTTTATTCCGGTGGGAATATGGAGCCCAGAGCTGTAGTGAAGGAGAAGTTTTTCATCGTGATACGAGGGAAGTCAAGGAAAGGCTTCTGCCGGGGATGTATCGGTCGTGTGGAGACGGAGACGCAGCATGGGGAGCTGACGGGGCTGCTGTACTGCGGGGGGAGCAACGCTTTGAATCCAAAGAGTGGAGGCACCGTGAGGAAGGAGGACACCTACTCTCTGACCCGCCACCAGGCCCAGCTGCTGCTCTTCGTTTCCTCCGTGAGCAAACGCCTGGAGCTGCTGTGCAACCCCCAGCTGTTCTCTGCTATCTGCGAGCTGTCTCAGGACGACCTGGTGGTGGTGAAGCACAAGAAAGGACACCTGCCGGGGCTGGTGAAGAACCTGATGCAGATCGGGAGGAAGGAGCACAAAGACGACCTGCACATGCTCGGCTTCGAGGTGGAGTTTGTGGTGGGTAAAGTCTGGTTTATTATTTGCAACATTGGTTAGAGTTATCTAGTTTCCAGTGATGTAAGTAACTTAGTAGATTTACTCAAGTACTTTACTGAGGTGCACATTTGAGGGACTCTACTACAATTCAGAGGTGACAAGTGTACTTATACTCCACTACATTTATTTTATACCTTTAGTTACTTTGCTAGATTTGGATTCATGCTGTGAAATTAAAGTAACCCTTAAATAAGACTTTAGTTACATTGGAGGAATTCACAAAATATCCTGCAGTATACAAAATAATTAAAACTAGCTGCACCTTTACCAGCTGTGATATATATTATTATGAACTGGGCCAATCTGGTTTCTCTGGTGCTTATACATTAAGTGCACACTCACTTATAACCTCAAGAAATGTATTGAGACGAGCAGACCCGTATCAGTTCAGGGGATCTATGTTTCTTAGGATGAAGATTTCTTTAGAAGGATGCATGACTCTCAAAAAGTACACCTGAGTGCACATGAGACGTTATCTGCATTCTGTACATAAGGGTGTTGAGTTTCTGTTTTGCCTTTGTCTTCCTTTGTAGGACAGTGATCAGAATTTGTCCTCCAAGAAACCCCCCCCTCTGCCCCTGTTCAGCGCGGCGGACGTTGTGCAGGTGATCCCGTCGTACTCGGTTCCCCTCGGACTGCACTGGAAGGACGGACAATCTGGGGGTAAGTTAATAAAGCGATCACAGATTAACTACCTCTTTCTAAATGCATTACCTAACCACAAGTTACTTGGTTTCTGAATTCCTTTCATGAAATATTGTTTGTATGAAAAAGAGCATCCATTCCCCTCCAATCAGCTGCGCCTGAGAGTTTTCACAAGACACATGTGATTCCCACAGCGGCGCAGAAGAAGCTTTCCCAGCATAAACAGGAACAACTGGTCCTGTTTCTCTGGAATTTCAAACATCAGTGATCAT